GAGATTATCATCACTATTGCAAAATAATCTGTCATACTTTCATAATTTTTCATCTCTAGGATCTCAAATTCTCTCCTTAATGCATTAAGAAGAGATTTCTTCACTATTTGGTTTCAACCAAATTTTTGCTTCATTGATCCCAAAGAATCTTGGCTGTGCGACCTTGGCTGTGCGACGATTCAAGATTTGTTCAAAGACAGTACGATCAATTGCCTGGAAGAGGTAATACTTTAATGAGTGATCTTTGAGTCTAGTATCATCAAGGTGGCCTTTTTGTGCCTCAATCAAGGGATCTTCATTAAAGTTTTGTCTTCACTCATACTCTCCCTATTTGATCACTAAAAAAGTGCAGCTCTAATACCAATTGGTATGTTTGCTAAAGAATAACTAAACCAGAAACATAAACAGTTGAACTAAGGATGATATTATTGAATACTGAAGTTGCTTCTTCACAAATAACCATGAATAGAAACAACCACAAATGTGGTAAAATCTTCAAAAATATTTAAGCTAAATACCTAAAAGTATTCTAACTATCCAAAAGAAAACATCTTTATTTAACTATTTTTGACATAATCAAATTCTTCTAACATTTACACACACCAGAGATAGATTTTGACGTTTCTTACACTGTTGTACACGGTCGGAGAAGGAAGACAGAACCTCAGACTTTTTAACCTTCTTAGATCTGGAAGCTTTCGACTTATACAAACCAAACAAACACCATAATCGGGATTAGGGGGAAGAGGAGACTCGGAAACGAAAGAAAAAGGAGGGAAAATGACGTCGAAAACAACGTTACCAAAGAGAGAGAGAAAAGACGTCGGAAATTCTCTGATAACCGGGTGAAGGAGACGAAGTCCGACCCGCGATTCGGATCCACGACCCGAATTGAGACCAACCCGCTCCAGTCCAATCCCTCGGCCCAACGAAACCACCGCGGCCCAGACGTCTCGGCCCAACCTAGAAAATCCATCAGCTGTGACTCAAGACCAAAAATCAAACCGACCCGAGACTCGCAAGCCCAATCCAATACCTGATGCTGACAGCCAGGTCCACTACACGCACTCAGCCCAGACCTGCAACTGCGCCCGAAAACCCGTACCTCGATCTGAGACAGCCTGCACACGCGTTGCCTCTTAATTGTGCCACGTGTCACGTCTGCAGTGCGACACCTCCCCGGCTCTGGCGGCTTATTCGGCTTGGGAAATCCATTTCCGACCCGTTTTAGGCCGAATAGGTCTTTTAAGGCCGTATTTCACAAATTTCAAACTGAAAATTAATTATGTTGGTGAAATACTAACAAGGTGTTGAATGATCCAATAGAAACCAACCACCAACGGAAGCGTAGGACATATATGAGGAGCTAGGAGCTTACATATATATTTTAAGGAGTACTTCGGCTAAGGCCTACCAAGTAAGTGCACCTACCAACGTAAGATTCACATGTGTCATTAAATTGTATGTTAGACTGTGGAATGTGAATGTATGTTGTTTTTGTATCGATGTGACGTGCGATATAGTATGATGTGACGTGTTGTGCTTATGACGTTTATGTGATTTCTAGATGATTTTGGCATGAATCGCATGTCATAATAGGTTGTAATGAAAGCATGAAATGTGTGGTTATATCCCTAATTTGTATGTAAACAACATGATATGTATGACATAAAATCACGATAAATGACATGAAATATAACCTAGTTAGGATTATGGATGATATGTGACTGAAAACTGAGAAACGATATGTTATGCACGAAAAATGATAGCGGGCAAAGTATTGTTATGTTTTACATAATGCTGCATGACGATTACTAATTCTAATGGGTATCCGACAAAAGTTGAGCTAACAGAGAAGGCTCGCCCGACAAGAAAAGGGGACCAGCGATGTGCGAACTGTCTGGTAAGCCCATACTCGCACGTATGGGCTATGTGTAGAGTATATGGTACACATCCAAGCTGCCCAATTAGAATAGTGTCATAGGAAAAATAGACTGATATGATAGGTCTCGTTATAGCATTTTGCATGTTCTTGTTGCATAACCCCGATAGGGGGTCACTTACTGAGTATTCCAGAAATACTCAAGGCTCGTGTTACTACATTTTCAAACAAAAGCAAGGCACCCATGTGAGACCGACGATAGCATCGTACATCTCGTGACCGTGGCACATGCATAGGATAGATTGTTTTCCATTCGTAATATATGTTATTATAGGTTGAATTTCATTTGCATTTGTAGTATAGGTTAGTATATGTCAAATTTTCATTTGCATTATTAGTACAAGTTAGTCTGAGTTGAATGGTAATCGCATTAATAAACCATAGGTTAGTATAGAATATTTAATTCATAATTGTTTTTCGTTTCTTTACACTATATTCCTTTTTGACATGTAATGAATGACAAATTAATGTTGCATTTATGGTAAGGGCCATTTAATTTGAATTTCGCATTAAAGGTAAAGTCGTTTGGATAAATTCAACATTTAAGATATAGTAATCACCTTAGATTAAATAGTGAAATTTTAGGGTCTTTACTCCCAATACTCTTTCAAATCTTTTTAGTGTCGAACATTCCTTGAAGATCATGCACTCTTGAAGACTTAAAGATTTCGAAACTCTAAAGATTGAAGCTTCAAGCTAAAAAAACAAGCGTTTTAGTCCTCAAGCGAAACATATATACAATAGATCGAATTTAACCTCTTTTTAAAACTGAACATTCTTTGGAACTCTTGAAAATTTAAGACTCTACAAAGAACGAAGACTTCTAAGATTAAAATATATTTGAAAATCTAAAAATCTCGAAGACATATCGAATGCTTTTGAAGTGAAAATATTTCAAGACTTTAATAAAATTTTCAAATATGAACAAACAAAAACGCCAATCCAACAAGATCTACAAGGTAAAATCGATCAAACAACTAACAAACGCACTCGAAAATAAACCGTTCATCCCTTGAGCCATTTGCACTTGGAGAAAGAAATAGATAAGCATATTATAAATTTTACTACTCATACAAATTATTTACCTGCATTAAATTCTTTTATTCAAACTTCTACAATATATCAACATCAATTTATAACATTTTTTCCAATAGATTTAACTGTAATTTCAAATTGATTTTACACTTCTTAAATTTTATTTTTGTCCCAAATAAATATAACCTTATTATCTCCCTCTATATATCCTAACGATTAACTATACTCTTGACCCAAATAATAATTAAAAATTTATTTAATTTTATTTTAAAATTAATAGGACTTCTAATTGAAACATAAAATGGTACAAAAATGATATGTCACATCCATAAATAATGATTTTTATTGTTCCATGTTAATGGAAATGATGTCTCATAATGTTTGTTAAAAAGAAAAGAGAAAAAAGAATTTAAAAAGTGATATTAAAAATTGACTTAAATTTAGAACATAAAGGCTAAGAATGTAGCAATGTTCAACAAGATAATTCTCTAATAATTTTATTTTTTCAATTTCTTAATAAAATAAAAGTAGTGGTAACATTTGAATCAATTATATTGTCTACCAAACACTTCATTTGAATTATTTAGAATAATATTCACCAGGGGTTCCACTCTAATTAATTTTGGTTTGTATGATGAAGCTTAGAGGTCACAAAATATTATTGTTAATCGATAATAATTGAATGAATATTTAAAACTAGTTAAATTGACGGGCCAGAAAATGCATTCACATATTATATATATCATGTCTTGTCGAACTTCAATTTAGATATGGTTGGATGTATAGTACTTGTCTACACACTTTTCATGCACCAATGCATTAATGTACTAGGTGGGCTCTTTAATGTACCCTATAGGTTAGACTATGGGTTAGTGCACGCTCACATTGTCAAAAATCAACATAAAAGAAAGGAATACACATTTTTTAATATAATGACCATATTTTTTTTTATTAAAAATAAAGTTGTCACTCTATACTAAAAAAAAAATCATTCAAAACATTTCATAGACAATTCCATGGACTTATATGTTCGTAAAGCTAATCATAACTCTCCAAAAGTAGAGTTATACCGAGTCTTTTTTTCAATAATTTTACACACATACTCATTATTTTATCATTTTTTGTTCTGATTATACTTATAAATTAACATGAAAAATAGTGCATTAACATGAAGGAGGGATCAAATTGCATAAATCTAGTCTGCTTATATACTTGATTGATTTTATGTTACAAAATAACAAACCATTTATGCTTAACCATAATGTCATAGTAAATCTAGAAGCAAATTTGTTGGTGATGACATGCCTCGACCAATTTATTAAACTATTTTTCGAAGATGACACACGAGATTTTTATCTGAATCAGTAGGCAACACGAATTATTAACAATCTAACTGGACGCTGCTTAGTTGGATGACTAATCCTTTTTCATCCCTAAACGAGAGGAAAGACGCAAGGTTTCGAAAAGAAAGACAATTAATAGGAGCGGGACACGAAAAGAAGGAAAAGTATACCATAACTTGGAAGGTGAGACACATAAGAGAAAGGGGACAAATGTCTCTAAAGAACTAAATTGTGTAGGTGAGGGTGGAAAGGTAGAAAGTCTGAAAGAGAAACCACAAAGAGGACAATATCTGTTAGCGGTGGGCTTAGGTCGTTACAAATGGTATCAGAGCTTGACATTGGATGATGTGCTAACGAGGAGGCTGAGCCTCAAAGGGAGAGGACATGAGGCAGTGAGACAGTAAGGACGCTAGCCTCTAAAGGGGTTGATTGGGGTGTTCCACATCGATTGGAGAAGGGAACGAATGCTAGCAAGAACACTGGGCTCCAAAGGGAGAATGAATTGTGAGATCCCACATTAGCTGGAAAAGAAGAACAAAACATTCTTTTCTTTATGGATTGTGAGATCACACATCGATTCAGGTGGAGAAAGAAGAATTCTTTATAAGGGTGTGGAAATCTCTCCCTAATAAATAGATTTTAAAAACGATGAGAAGGATTGGGTATTTATTTATTTATTTATTTATTTTCAGTGTTTTTGAAACTCCAGGGTATAAAATAAAATAATAATAATCTCACTCCCATCGGAAACCCCTGCTCTTCTCTTCTCTTCCTAAGATTCTTCTTTTTGTAGTCTTTCGGTGCGTAATATCAACACCTCTCCTTCTCTTTCTCCACTTTCTCTCCTAATTCCCACATTTTTGTTCTTCTTAACTTCTCATTTTCTCCTCCCTAAAAGCCTGAAGAGTTCTACGGAACAAAGCTGCTGTTTCTCACTCTTTTCTTCCGGAAATTCAAATCACAATTTCGTTTTCAATCTGCTGCTGCTGTTCGTTCGGATTAGGGGAATTTATTGGCTAAGCTTATGGCGATTGAAGTTTGCTCTGAGATTTCCAGTGTAGGAATCAGTCCGAGAATCTCGTTTTCGCATGATCTGAACCAGGCCGATTCGTTGCCTTCTTCTTCCGATTGCAACCGCGGTCGCTTGGATTTGAGTCTTCTGGAATCCGATTTCGATTTCTGCATTGGCAATCTTCTTCTGCAAGATCTCTCCTCTGCGGATGAGCTCTTCTGCAATGGAAAAATTCTCCCCGTCGAAATCAAGAAATCGATCGAGCCAAACAGAGAAGTTTCTAAACCTAACCAATCTACTCCTCCAATTCCTCCCGATCCTCCGAGAAGTTCAGTCTCCTCCGAGAAGAAGAGCCTGAAAGAACTTCTATCCGCGAGTTTCGATGCGGAGGAGAAACCGCAATCCAAATCGTTCTGGCAGTTCAAGCGAAGCAGTAGTCTCAATTGCGAAAGCTCCAAGAGTAGAGGTTTGATAAGATCCTTACATTTTCTCTCCAGAAGCAACTCCACTGGTTCGGCTTTGAATTCGAAACAGCAATCGCAATCGCAATCGCAATCGCAATCGCAATCGAAGGATTCTCGGACGCCGAGTTTGCAGAAACAGCCTTCGATTTCGAGTAGAAAATCGTCGGTATCTTCTTGCTCGAACTCGTATTTCGCAAATTCGTGCTCTCAGAAGCCTTCGACGAGGAGGAATTTCGGGGCGAACAATGGGAATGGAGTTCGAATAATGAGTCCTCTTCTCAACCTCCCTCCGCCATACATTTCCAAAGTAACTGTGAGTTTTTTTGGATTCGGTTCTCTGTTTTGCAATGGAAAGAACAAAAAGAAGAACAAATAAGAAAGAAAAAATCCATCCGAATCTTGAAGGACAGATTAGATTGATTTCATGTGTGTATGATTTCTGTTACGAAGCATGTGATCTGATCAGTGTCTGCAAATTGGAATAATCAGAGAAATGGAATTATTTGAAATTTGAAAAGAAGAAGAAGAAGGTGGGAATTGAAAATGGTGAAATCTTGGAGTGAAAAAAAAGAAAAAGAAAAAGAAAAATGTATATAGTTTAGGAGACACATAAACAAAGAGTTACGCCATTTTCATGGCCTTACCCATCTCGATTCACTGTTCTCTTATATTCTTTTCATTTTTGTTGTTCCTCAATAATTAAAACTTATGGGCTGTCTCTTTGTTCTTTTCAACTTTGATTGAAGCCTTCTTTTCGTTTTTTTCTCTCCATGATTGTCATAATTCCATGTGGAACTCTCTCCCTCTCTCTTTCTCCTAATAATTGGTTTCCTTCCAAGAGGGTTTGAAATGGGTATTAATATTAGGGGATCCCCTTTTTAACTTTTAACTTTATCTTTATCTTTATCTCTGTCTCTTTATTATATTGCATTGGATTTGTGTATTAAACAAATCCATATCAATGTTTATTGAGTATTATTATTAAACTTTCATCATTATCATTTTCATATTTATAGCATAGAAAACAAAAATGGATTGATTCAATTTTGGAATCTATAGGTTTGAGAATGGAGAGAAATGCCAGAAAGATTAAATTACATATTACATATTATTCACTTCTTATGCAAACTGTATGACAATTTATAAATAGGTTGCCAATTTGATGAGGGTCGAATGTAACACCTAAATCCGATAAGAATTAATTTCTCAACTTTTCTTTTAAAATTCGAACATGATAAATTTTATTGGAGGTTGTAGCGTGGAATTTCCAAATATGATACTAAAAGTGTTTTAGAACATTCTTATAAACTCAAACCCAAGAAAAGTATAAAAGAAAATAGTGGAAAAGTAAAAGATGAGTCAAAGTCAACTTCATAGGGATATTATGGTCAATTTAACTCCTACCTACTTGAATATCTGCCCATGAACTAATTAGAGATTAAGGAAGAAACAAAGAAAAAGAAAGAAGTAAAAGGAAAGAAAATGAGAGAGAAAAGAGGGTAAGAAAATAAGGTAACTATGATAGACTTCTTGATTCCGCCTCTTGGAGGTGTTTTCCGCCCGAGGGCAATTGACTTGCGTATTTGAATCATCCAAATCAATCAAGAAATGAGGAAGTGGTTCGGTTTTCCTTTAGATAGATGGTATTATTTGAGTATTAGAATCTTATAACAGGTTAAAATACATTAGAAATTTACTTTGCACAATTTTTTTTTGAAGAAATCGAGAAACCTAATAGGGTGAAAGGATAGGTCCCTTCATTTCATTTACATGTTCTTGTTGCATAACTCTGATAGGTGCGCTTAATGAGTACTCTTAAAATACTCAAATCTCGTGCTACTACATTTCAGATAAATGCAAGACACTTATGTGAGATCAATGAAAGCATCACAAATTTCGTGACCTTGACACATGCATAGAATAGATTCGCATTTAAAACTTAATAGTATAGGTCATCATGAGTTGAATGATATTTACATTCATAGTATAAGTTAGTATAGTTGAATTGTATTTGCATTAATAGTATATGTTGAATTGCAATTGCATTTAATAAAATTTAAGTTAGAATAAGGGATTTAATTAAGTATTGTTTTCTTTTTCTTTCTTGTATTTTATTCCCGAGATAATAAATGAGATATGAGTTAATTTACCATTAGAAGTTTATTAAAGTAATTCCACACTAAATGTAAGGTTAGGAGCATAGTAATGACTTTAGATTAAATAGGAAAATTTAGGATTAATTAAATTAATTTTGCATTAAAAGTAAGGTAAGGAGTATAATAATAGTTTTTTTTTTTTTTTTTTTTTTTTTAAGATATTGGAGACTGGGAATAAGAAATGATCATTTTTTTTTTCTCTACATTTGTCAAGTATCTGAAATTTACCGCTAACAAATAGAAACTAAGAACCAAAGACAAGAGATCCAAGTTATCAAAACTAACAATTATGAACCATAGAACTAATGTCCTTAGATCCGAACCATGGTTAAGAAATCAGAATCCAGGACCAAGGTCCTTGGACGAAAATCATGGTAAGAACTCAAAACTCACGAACATAACCTATAGACCCAAGTCTTCAGGTTAAGCATACAATATGATAAGAAAAAGTGTGGTACCTTGACACCCACCATCATGGACACAATTAAGAACCTATAAGTATGCTATTTACCGAGTCTTGTACTCATTCCATATTTAAATAATTAGGAGTTGGTCGAGACTGAAAGTGGATCTAGAGAAATATTCATAGACAAGTCACATCCACGGTCTTCAAAACTTTTTTTGTTTAATATTTTTGTGGATTGTTCTCTCTTTTATCTTATAAACTATACATTGATACATATTAAGTTTTAAATTCATTGGGCTTTTCTTCGCAAAATATTTTATCGTCTTTTTACACCATCGAGTTAACCCCAAGTGCGTTTCGTACTTCGGATAAGTTCAAAAATTGGATCATGCTAGGTTAACTTTGATCTCATTTATCTGTTAGTTATATGGTTGGGATCCTTTAAGCAATTCCCACATGGGAATGAACGGTCATCCATATGGTGGAAGCATTAGAAACTATTTTGATTTTATTAAAATTAAAAATAACGAAAGTAATATGAGAGTAATAATACTATCTTTACAGAAACCGTCTGTCTTCGTAGAAACCACAGCTTGCAAAACTTCCTTGATATATTCCAACAACGCAAAAGTTTTTCCACATTCCACAAGATATTCCTTGCTATGACTCGAACACGAGGCCAAGAGAATGAGAGTTTCATTCCAACAACGCAAAAGTTTTTCCACATTCCACAAGATATTCCTTGCTATGACTCGAACACGAGGCCAAGAGAATGAGAGTTTCATTCCAACAACGCAAAAGTTTTTCCACATTCCACAAGATATTCCTTGCTATGACTCGAACACGAGGCCAAGAGAATGAGAGTTTCATTCCAACAACGCAAAAGTTTTTCCACATTCCACAAGATATTCCTTGCTATGACTCGAACACGAGGCCAAGAGAATGAGAGTTTCATTCCAACAACGCAAAAGTTTTTCCACATTCCACAAGATATTCCTTGCTATGACTCGAACACGAGGCCAAGAGAATGAGAGTTTCATTCCAACAACGCAAAAGTTTTTCCACATTCCACAAGATATTCCTTGCTATGACTCGAACACGAGGCCAAGAGAATGAGAGTTTCAAGAGAATTCTCTACGAGAAAAACAGTGAAAGTAAAAAACGGTCAGAGATCAATGACCTTTTGGCTCAATTGGCTCAATACAAGTATATGGTAACTAATGAAAAATTTAAAAAATAAATAAATAAAAATAAAAATGATAATAGTAATAATAAAAAAAAATAAATAAATGATCCCTCTCTCTCCACCTTCCCAAAAATCTCTCTCAACACCTCCTACACCAAAAATGATTAGCCATTCTACAGGAAAAAAAAAAGAATAGAAAAAAATGTCAGATTTTAGGAAGAGAAAAATTAGAACAAAAACAAAAATGACAGATTTGGGAGAGAAAAATTGGAAATTACCTTCCTTCGAGCTAATTTAACCGGGAAGATTAATAGAGAAGAGTAAAGAGATAAAAAAGTAATCGGGACAGACAGACTGATAAAACTGCAGTAGCCGAATACGATTCTGAATCAACGAGGACAAAATGTAATATGTGTTTATGTTGCTATTGGTCAAAAGGCCTGGTTCGTGGCTAAAGTAGTTACTACTTTCCAAGAAAGGGGCAATGGAATACACTATAATATTAATCTAAATGGCTGATTTTCTTGCTCCATTACAAGTTAGAGAGATAGAAAAGTTATCTTAGATCTCTTTTTTCTTTTATTTTTGCAACTATTTAGATTTTAGGTACTTATACAAAATCAGAATTAATTGAAAATGAGTAAAAGCATTGAATTAAAAAAAAATGTTCATCCTATTTTTAGGAAAGAAAAGGAAAATCAATCTATTGAAAATTGCCAAATATGATAAACAAAATCAAGAGAAAAAAAATACATCAAACCAAAGATAAGATAATATTGTTAATAAAATCAAGAAAAATACATAGAACCAATAAAATCAAAAGAAAAGAAAAAAAAAATATAGAGCAGACCAAATATGATAAACAAAATCAAAAGGAAAAGAAAGAGAAAATAGCCAATAAAATCAAAAGAAAAAAAAAAAAAAAGAGAAGAGAAAATAACCAGTAAGGTTAACAAAATGAAAAGAAAAGGAAAAAAAGAGTTGGAGTAAGAATAGATAAGAATTGACTGAAAAAAAAGTTCATAATAGATCCTAATATATGCCGACTTAAAGAAAATAAAAGATTAAAATAAATATCACGAAATGAAGTAGACACTTAAAATAATTCCATCAAATTATTCCCTACGACTGGAATAATAAAAAATGAAATCTTAACAAAAATACTATATATATTATAACATTTTAAGATGTTACTCTTAAAAAGTCTTTAATGTTCGCATGAAGTCTAGCTGATATGAACCAAAAGACATCAATCATACAATATACTTCAATGAAGATGTGAAGAAAAGGTTGTCAAAATTATCAAAAGATGTTTCAATTCATGCCACATTGAAGAATAATGAAGTTTGATTGTTATAAATTTTGGGTGGGTTACAATTTAGAGTTATTGTATTTCATTTATGTATTTTAAGACTTTATTTACTATAGGTTACAATTACATAATGGTTAATTATGGCCATTAGGTATGAATGTTACAACTCTTGGAATGACTTTAGTAGTTTCATTTTGAGGCTATATAAAGTCATGTATGTTGTATGTGTAAGAGACTTGAAAAATATAGTAAAAAGAAGCATTTGTGCTCTTTTTTAGCCAATGGCTAAGTTTCTTTGCAATTCTATGTAGTTTAGGTTGCATGTAGAATCATTCAAGCTCGACATGATCAATCTTGCTTGTGGAGTGATTCGAATCTCATGGAAGTGTTCTTGCCTTGAGATATTTGATCAACAAGAATCATTCAAGCTAGACATGATCGATCTTGCTTGTGGAGTGATTCGAATCTCAAACAATGTTCTTGCCTTGAGATATTCGATCAACAAGGTAATCCGAATCTTACTCCCCTTGTAGTGGTTCCTTTTCTTATCACTAGCACATGAACCATTGTCAGATTTAGAAAATTGAATGTAAAATTGATATTGTGGATTCATATAGGTTGACTTGGATACAAAGGATAAATCGAACTTTCATTAAAGATAAATTGGTAACACCAACTTAAGCTAATCAGGTAAGTAGTCTTATTA